CTGGAACCTTACGTTCCCTCTCGGGCCCTGAGATCATCTGATCAGCTGCTTTTGGCTGTTCCTAAAACAAGACTGAAGCTCAGAGGAGATCGGGCTTTTTCAGTCATGGGCCCCAAACTCTGGAACAACCTGCCCCCCAACATCAGGCAGACCACCTCCATTCCTCACTTCAAATATCTGCTAAAAACATCTGTTGTCTCATTTCACACAGTGTGAGTTGATTTAGTGTTTTGTTTTTTTTGTTCTGTGATCCTATGTTTTAAATGCTTTTTATTAATTCTTCAATATTATCATTAGTGTATGGTATTTTTTCATTAATTTTACTCCCATTGATGTTGTTGTTAATCACTTTGATAACAATTTCTGTTTTAAATGTGCTCTATAAATAAAGTTGACTTGACTTGTTGTTTGTGAAGGCAGCAGATCTTTAAACTTCTGACAGTTTTTCAGAGACAACAGCAGCTCTCAGGAAGCCGTAAAATGTGTGTTTCTGAGTGGTTGGAGGCTCACAGCTCACTTTTTCCCCTCTTCCACCGCTACTCTTCAGCCTAGTTTGGCTCGGCTCAGTTCAACTCGGTACACCTTGCATTTCCATATGCACTTCAGGACTGGTTCTGTAGGCAAGGTCCAGAATCCAACTCACCTTACGAGCTGGTGGCGATAGTGCTCCATTAAGCTATTTACTAGCCACCACTAAAGGTATTAGAAGAAGAACCTGAAAAGATACACAACCACAATGGAGGATCTCATAGCTTTATTGAACATTCTGCTCAGTTTGTGGCTTTTTGTCAAACGTCAAAGAGAAGAGACCCAGAAAAGGCTGCAGACAAACAACCAAATGCTCTGGAGAAGAACAGGAGAGTGTGGGAAATGATTAGAGGACGAGTGATGGTAAGTTAATGCTAATCTGCTATATAGAGCCGAGCATAAAAGTATGTACCAGTAAATGTTGATTAAATATGGTTTAATAAAACATGCTGTGTGTGTGTTTCAGATGATTCCCCAGCAAAATAATCTCAGCAGACCTACATTCTGTTCATGTCCAGCTCTGGAGCAACAGTGTGCCAATAAAGCTGAAAGAGGCTGTTACCTTCCATCGATGTATCATTTCAGTATAGATGTTGACGATAAAGATGTATTATAAATATCTTGACTTTGTTATGACACTTTAGTTATTTACCAAACACAGTAGATGAAAAATGAAAGGGTCAGTATATATATACTATATATATATATATATATATATATATATATCCTGCTAATTAACTTTTAATGAACTTCAGATCACCATTAAGGCCTCCAGTATAATCGGGCGTACATCACTCTGCGGAGGTCCACACGTACTGGATTAGAGCAAGGCGGACGCCCGCAGGGTATGTCTGTGCAAAGCTCAATTTTTACGCCTGCGTACTCTGTGTCGCACAATAAACTGCCCAGCGACAGACTGTTTTGTATGCGACACCATTGTATTAAATTCCCTTCTTCGTCCCTGATCTGGTCTTTTCTTTAGTTTTTTTTTTTTTTTCCAAGAGGCAAGTGATCTCTTCCTCCTCTGTTGACGTCATGACTGAACTTGTGAGAAATTAAGGAATTTGTCACGAGCTAATTAAAATCAGGTCCAGTGTGGCTGCGGGAGGGTCTGGAGATTTCCTGGTGGGCTGGTCTGATGTGTGGGCTGCAGGACCAGCGCTCCCTGTTTTTTTTTTTTAAGAACTTTTTATTAACAACATATAAACACAGAACATAGCTGTCACTTGCTGCCAACTCTCATTTTATTTTTATTTTTTTGCGACCTAGTGTCAAACAATCCAGTAGGCGTGTCAACAAATGACCAATCGGCGACCTCATTTTGTCCTGAAGGTAAACGCCCCTTACCTGTGGAGCGGGTCTGCAGCCGCTCAGGGTCGACACTCGAGTATGAAGTCTCAACCCTCTGCGGATAGTGCACGTCGAGTCCACTTGGAAACAGGTCCATGCGAGAATACTGGAGCCTTAAGAGTGAGAGTTCAGTGATGGAGTTAAACTCAAAGCTGCTCCTCAGATAAATAATGTTCAATTATTATTTTATACATGAATGTTTCTGTTCAATTATTATTTTATAGATGAATGTTTCTGTTCAATTATTATTTTATATTTGAATGTTTCTGTTCAGTGTCTGAGACAACTTCTGTTCTGACTTGGAGATTTAGAAATAAACTGAATTGAATTAAATCTCTGATGAACCAGATTCTACAAAAACATCTATATTTAAATTTTTTGTTTTCTTCATTATTTGATGTGTTTGCACTCGTGTCTACTTTTATTGTTCAGTTTAGATATGTGGTTTTGTTTCTTGTATACAGATTCTTGTATTTGAGTGATTTAAAGTTTAATTCTTGTTTTGTGATTTGTACATCTGTGGGTTAGAATAAAGTTGAACTAAAAGCTGTATCTCCTTTTTTACATATTTGAGAGAAATATTCCTGAGAGATCCAAGAATTTTGTGTCTTTTTATGATTTTCAGCTGAGTTAACTTTAACAGTTTATTTAATAGTCATTAAAGTGAAAACATGAACAATCATGATAAAGCCGGCACCGTTGATTTATTTTTTAAAAATCCATCCATTATCTTTTACCTGCTTCTTCCATTTTGGGTCACGGGGATCGTCGGTGCCCATGTCCATCAATCACTGTGCGAGGGGCGGGGGACACCCTGGACAGGTCTTCAGTCCATCACAGGGACACATAGAGACAAACAAGACAAACAACCATTCACTCTCTCACTCACACCTAGGGACAATTTAGAGTTACCAATTAGTCTAACATGCATGTTTTTGGTCAGTGGGAGGAAACTGGAGAAACTGGAGAACCCGGAGAAAACCCACGCAGCACGGAGAGAACATGCAAACTCCACCCAGAAAGGCCCCCAGACCAGGATTTGAACCAGGGACCTGCTCGCTGAGAGGCAGCAGCTCTACCAGTTGTGCCATCGTGCTGCCCTTTTCTTAAATCTTGACTGATTAAAAAATATATATTTTTTATACATAAAATGTTTTTAAAAATCGTTTCCATCCTCTGTACCAGACCCGCCCAGGTCTGCCGAGATCAGGGTTCGGCCTTTATGAGCAGGCAAGGCCGGGGTCCGGGCAACAGCCTTCTGCAAGTCAGCAGCTCAAAACTGCGGTGGAGAGGACCAGGGAGACCGACGGAGCTGCATCTAGACCACTCTGAGTTTGGTCATTGGCCACCAAGCACAACAAACGCCTGCACTTCAGCATCAGACCACTGTGTTTTCATTATTGTTTTTAAATCTTAAAAATAGATCCAGCCGCTGCTCCGAGTTCTGACAAGTGGTGGAGAAAATACTCAAACACTGTACTTAAGTAAAAGTACAAATAAACAGACAAAAATGTACTCTAGTAAAAGTAGAAGTACCACATTAACATTTTTACTTAAGTAAAAGTACAAATAAGTACTTGCTTTTAAAATACTTAAAGTATTAAAAGTAAAAGTACTTCCTAATGACATAATGCAATGGTCTACATATCTTTAAGTCTGCGTACCATATGTATATTTTCTGTAGTACATTAATAGTCTTGTTGTATTTTAATGAACGATGCTGCAGATAATACATGTTTTTATTGTGTTTACTCTGTGACACTGTTCAACTTGGACTTGTGATGCTTTGCATCAGAATTTCAGGGATGACATGCAGAGTTAAATATCATTAATCAAAATAAGAAAGAAGAATGATTTTACCTTTGAAAGTTTTTATTTAACAAATAGTAAAACCAATGTGTCATTTTAACTGCAGTAAACACATTTCAGTAAAAGTTGTCTGCCGGAACAAAAGGAGCATTAGACACAACTAACAAAGGAACAGGCTCTGATCATTTCCACTCATATTTCAGTTCCAGTTTGTCATCAACTCCAGTTAAATACTGTCTATTCAACCTTGTAATGGGTCAATATTGAACAATATTTTAACTTCCTGACACCATTTTTAAAACTTGGACCCGAGTGTCGAGCCTTTTGGAGACATCTCTTGTCTCCTAACATCCCATCAACTGACACATTTTAATATTGCAGCAAGAAGTTCTTGTTCAAGTTCAGAAGAAGTTGGTTTTCAAAGATTCTTGAGTCCAGTCTGGCTCTTTTGGGAGAGACAATCTGTCCTGCTGTACTGAGCAGTCTTTCAATAAGGCCATGGGTGCAGCGTATCTTCTGGCTGACTCTCTTGAGGTGGAATACATTTCAGTGTGTTAGTGGTGCTGCGGGTGCACCCAGCTCAGTGACATATAAATACTGGAATATATGTCACTGGTCCAGCTCTTCTTGAAGGTGGGCCTAACGTTACCTGCCCACTTTGCAGTGATTCAATGGACCAGCTCCTCTCATCATTAGTTACTTTCAAAGTAACAAACAAATCAAAAAACTGCAACATGAATGTAACTTGTAATGCAACACGTTATAGAACTGTAGTGTAGTAGAAAGTACAGATACGTCATGTAAAATGTAGTGAAGTAAAAGTATAAAGTACCCACATTTAATTACTTAAGTAAAGTACGATACACGAAAAATGTACTTAAGTACAGTAACCAAGTATTTGTACTTAGTTACATCCCACCACTGGTTCTGAGTAATTGCAAATGCCGGATTGGTGAAAAGTTTCTGAAAGATCCTGTGACTCCTCCCCCTGACCAACCAGTGACCGAAGTGTTCTGATGTCACGTTTTGGTGTCAGCTCGGCTCGCTTGGTTCCACCAGAGAAACAGGGACCAAAGAAGGAGCCGGTTCCATGTAAAAATGACAGTGGAAAATGGCTCAAAACCGTACTGAGCCAAGCTGAACCGAACCGGGCTGAAGAAGAGCGATGGAAATAGGGAATTTGTGTGGGACCACCAAAGCCACACACACCTTTAGTGGTTGTGAGCCTGAGGCCATCTGTCCATGAAAAGCACTGTTAGCAGCAGATGTGTTTCTGTTTGTGGTGACCATCTTCTGCTTCCTTGTCAACACAGCTGAGTTTTGGAGGCATCCCGCTCCCTGGTAAGCCCGGCACCTTCCTGAGGAAGAACTTCCTGGGCTGCATGGAGAACCTATACTACAACGGGATCAACATCATAGACCTGGCAAAGAGACACAAACCACAGATACACAGCGTGGTGAGTTTTTTATCCTGCACACAGACAACCTTGGCTAGCTTTTTATTCATCTGAACTCAACACGCTCTGCTGGAAATTTTAAATCTCTCCTTTTCACATTTTCCTCTTTGCTCTTTATTGTTGTTAAAGGTGAAGGTGGAGGAAACATTTATTTGTTTACTCAGCTATTTTCACAGATACTGAGCTTTGGTTTGGTGGGATAGTAGCTGAGACTCCTCCCCAACATGTAGTCTAAGGGCTGACTGTGTTCAGAACTTAGAGCTGGTGTAGAGACATAAACTCAGGAGGGAAACAAAGTGTTGGGGAAAAGCCTTTCAGCTGGACTTTAAATTCATTTTGGACACGACACAATCTAGGTTTCAAGAGAAGTAAAGGACGTTTTTGTCCTCTAGACTTGATGAAAACATCAATCAACCTTTATTTCTACAGGTAAATCCCATTGAGCCTCGAGGACTCATTTACAAGAGAGACCTGATTTCAACAAAGAAAGATGACAACAATGGACAACAGCAACAACAATAAGCAGTTATAAAAAGTAATACTGCAGATTTTTTTTTTTTTTACAAATAAGATGGCTAAAAGGAAAAGGTAACAAAAAAAAGAAAAAACATCTAGATTCTAAGACAAATGTAGAAAACTAAAAACAGGAACATGTCTGCATTGGTCCCTGCCAGGAGTCCAACAGATTCTTAAAGACACTTAGAGAGGTCAAAGGTCGAGAGCTTCAAATCTTTTTGTAAGATATTCCAGGAAACAGGAGCGGAGTAGGAGAAGGCCCTTTTGCCAAGTTCAGTCCTCACTGAGGGAACACTGCAGGTAATGATGTCCTGAGAGCGCACGCTGTAGCTGCACTCACACAGAGACATGTAGGAGGAGATGTATGAAGGCAGCAGACCAGGAAGTGATTTAAAGATGAAAATGTACCAGTGGGAGAGTCTGTGTGAAGGACCAGTTAACCAGTGAATACTGGGTGCAGTGGTGGGTACGATAGTTACAGCCAGTTATGAATCTTAGTGCACCATGATAGACAGCATCCAACATCTGCAGCATCCAACATCTGCAGCATCCAACATCTGCAGCATCCAACATCTGCAGCATCCAACATCTGCAGCATCCAACATCTGCAGGGTTCTTGTAGGAGCGTTCATGTAAATAATGTCACTGTAATCAATTGAGGGAAGGAAAGTCACAGATACAAGGTGTTTCCTAACATTCAGGGTTAGACAGGATCTGTTTCTGAAAAAGAAACCCAGTTTAACTTTCAGTTTCTTTACCAAGTTTTCCACATGGAGCTTAAAAGAGAGATGTGAGTCGACCAAGATACCCAAATATTTATAGGAATCAACAAACTCAATGGGGACACCATTTGAGGATAAAATCAGAGGAAGAACTGCTGGGACCAACTTCCTGTTTGAAAACAGCATCCCTTTGGTTTTGTTGGCATTTAGGACAAGTTTGAGGCGGAACAAATCAGTCTGGATGATGTTGAATGCAGAATTAAAAAGCTGGAAAGCCTTAGCAACAGTTTTAGCTCGACAATAAACAACTTTGTCATCAGCATAGAAATGTATGGATGCATTAGGGATGTTTTTACCTACATTATGTATGTAGATTGTAAAGAGGGTGGGTCCTAAGACTGAGCCTTGTGGTACACCATTGTTGACTGTTAAATAACTGGAGGAAGTACCATTATGTTGAACACATTGCCTCCAGTCTGAAAGATAGTTAGAGAACCAACCAATGGTGTGATCTGAGAAACCGATTTCTGAGAGTTTATGACACAAGATGTTCTGATCCACAGAGTCAGACTCTTTAGACAGGTCTAAGAAAAGTGCAGCACAATAATCTTTAGCATCCAGTGCTTCAACAACATCATTAAGAACCTTCAGTGAAGCAGTGGTTGTGCTGTGTTGTTTCCTGAAACCAGATTGATGTGGAGGTAAGATGTTAAATGAGTCCAGGTCATTTTTGATTTGAGAGTTTATCAGTTTTTCTAGAACCTTGGCTGAAATGCAGAGTTTAGAGATTGGTCCATGGTTGTTCAGTGAGGTGGGGTCACCTCCCTTCAGCAAAGAAGAACAAAGGCTGTTTTCAAGTGTCTGGGATGGAGTTTGGTCTCGTGGACCAGTTAAAGATGTGGGTCACAGGGACTGTGATGATATGAGCAGTCAGCCTTGAGAAATAAGGTGGAAGTTCATCTGGACCTGCAGATTTTTTAGAGTCAAGATCTTTTAACAGTTTATTGACCTCACTGACTGAGAATGGAGAAAAAGAGAAGCTGTGATTAACTGAGGATTGACTTGTAGGTGGGATTTGATTTGTAGAAGTTTGGTTATTAGGGGAAGTGGCTGATCTTCTGTTAGTTACTGTGTCAAATAAAGAACCAGAAGCAACAAAATGTTTGTTGAAACAGTTCAGGATCTCGTGCTGATTTGACACAGGAGCAGAGTTAACGAGAAGTTGTGATGGGAGGTCAGATGATCGGGGGCTGCCTGAGAGAGATTTGATGGTTTTCCAGAATCTGTTAGGGTCATTTAGATTTTTGGAGGTCTGAGATAAGAAATAGTTGTTTTGCTGCTTTGACAGCAGTTGTGCATTTATTCATCTGTCGAAAACTCAACTAAACATGAACTATAGTTTCTGAATGTAGACATGATTACATTTTTACTCAGTTATATTTGTCCATGAAACCCAATGAATCCAATCTCTATTCCAGACGTTTGGAAAACAGCCTTTGTTCTTCCTTTGCTGAAGGGAGGTGACCCCACCTCACTGAACAACTATGGACCAATCTCTAAACTCTGCATTTCAGCCAAGGTTCTAGAAAAACTGATAAACTCTCAAATCAAAAATGACCTGGACTCATTTAACATCTTACCTCCACATCAATCTGGTTTCAGGAAACAACACAGCACAACCACTGCTTCACTGAAGGTTCTTAATGATGTTGTTGAAGCAATGGATGCTAAGGATTATTGTGCCACACTTTTCTGACACTGTGGATCATAACATCTTGTGTCAGCAGATCTCAGAAATTGGTTTCTCAGATAACACCATTGGTTGGTTCTCTAACTACCTCTCAGATCGGAGGCAATTCAATTCAATTCAGTTTATTTATAAAGCGCCAAATCACAACAAAGTTGTCTCAGGGACTTCACAGGAACATTCACATAAAAGCCAGTTAGTAAAGTTCTCTATCTAAGGAATTCAGCAAAGTTGAATCTTGGCTTTGTTGCAGTCTCCCATCCTGAGCAAGCACAGTGGAGACAGTGGAAAGAAAAACTCCCTTTAACAGGAAGAAACCTCCAGCAGAACCAGCTCAGGACAAGAGACCATCTGTTTTGACCTGCTGGTTGAGAGGACAGGAAGGAGAGACAGACGAACACAGAATGGTAGGTCCAGGTATAGGTCCAGGTCCAGGTATAGGTCCAGGTATAGGTCCAGGTGTATCTGAAAGACAAAAAAAACCCCACATGTTAAGGATAGAAAAAAATAATTACAAATACAAAACAGGTTGAGCAGAGTAAGTAAAGACAGCAGCAAAGTGAAAAATGTGGTCAGTTTGTCCTCCAGCAGTCTAAGCCTATAGCAGCAGAACTAAGGGACAGCTCAGGAAACCCAAGCCGACCCTAACTATAGGAAAGCAATGTGTTCAACATAATGGTACTTCCTCCAGTTATTTAACAGTCAGCAATGGTGTTCCACACTCATTACAATCTACATACCTGTCTAAATAAAGGTTGAATGAATAGGTAATGTAGGTCAGATCATCCCTGATGCATCCTTACATTTCTATGCTGATGACACAGTTGTTTATTGTCGAGCTAAAACAGTTGATAAGGCTTTCCAGCTTTTGCAATTCACCTTAGCCAACATCCAGTCAGATTTGTTCCATCTCAAACTTGTGTCAAATGCCGATAAAACGAAAGGGATGCTTTTTCAAACAGGAAATTGGTCCCAGCAGTTCTTCCTCTGATTTTATCCTCAAATGGTGTCCCCATTGAGTTTGTTGATTCCTATAAATATTTGGGTATCTTGGTCGACTCACATCTCTCTTTTAAGCTCCATGTGGAAAACTTGTTAAAGAAACTGAAAGTTAAACTGGGTTTGTTTTTCAGAAACAGATGCTGTCTAACCCTGAATGTTAGGAAACGCCTTGTATCTGTGACTTTCCTTCCCTCAATTGATCACGGTGACATTATTTACATGAACGCTCCTACAAGAACCCTGCAGATGTTGGATGCTGCAGATGTTGGATGCTGCAGATGTTGGATGCTGTCTTATCACGGTGCACTAAGATTCATAACTGGCTGTAACTATCGTACCCACCACTGCACCCAGTAGTCACTGGTTAACTGGTCACCATTAACTTCACACAGACTCTCTCACTGGTACATTTTCATCTTTAAATCACTTCCTGGTCTGCTGCCTTCATACATCTCCTCCTACATGTCTCTGTGTGAGTGCAGCTACAGCGTGCGCTCTCAGGACATCATTACCTGCAGTGTTCCCTCAGTGAGGACTGAACTAGACAAAAGGACCTTCTCCTACTCCGCTCCTGTTTCCTGGAATATCTTGTAAAAAGATCTGAAGCTCTCGACCTTTGACCTCTCTAAGTGGCTTCAAAACATCTGATAAGTTCCTGCAGATTTTCATGTTTTAATTATTTTTCATCGCCTTATATTCTATCTGTTTCTTTTTTTCTTTTTCACTACTTTTCCCTTTTAACTGTCCTTTTGGTTGCCATTTTATTTTAATTCATAAAAAATAAAAATAAAAATTGTACGCATCCTTTATGATTGTCCACTGTTGTCATCACTCTTTGATAAATATTTTGTAAACCAGGTCTCTCTTTAAATGAGTCCCCGATGTACACTGGGATTAACCTGTAGAATCAAAGGTTGAGTGAATGAATCCAATCAGCTACTTAGACTACAAGCATGTCTTAAAGACATAAAAACCTGGATGACCCTTAATTTTCTCCTGTTGAACAGACAAGA